TATATATTTTTTTCCTGCTGAACTGAAATGGTGAATGGTGGGAGATTCCAGACAAAAAGTGGGAAGTAGCCCATCATACAGAGCATAGTTAAATTACACAACTTGCTACCACAAAATGCAATGCTGGCTACAAAGCTGGATGGCTTTGAAAGAAGAATAGATAGATTTATGAATAATAAAACTATCAATGGCTACTAGCCAAAATGACTATGTTCCTCCTCCACTTTTGGAGGCTGAATGCCAGTTACTGGGAATCAGAAATTGAGAGAGTGCTGTTGCATTTAGGTTCTGTTTGTGGGCTTCTGATAGACATCTTGCTATCCGTTCTGGGAGCAGAACACTGGACTAGATGAGCCTTTGGTCTGATTCAGCATGGTTCTTCTTTTGTTCTCAGGAATATTCCTTCTCAAAACTTCACAAAATACAGAAATTTTATCAAAATTGGCTCAGAAAAGAAACAGAGTTTACCTGTGGCCTTTTCCCAGTTATATAAAGAGCATATCCCTTTAGCACCCTGTGGATTCTGACATATCCCACTGTGATAGCTCATCGTGTGAGCAATGATAGAATCTTCTTGTGTTCAGTCCATGACAGGAGCAAACATTTTGGTTAATGTTCCTCTAAGGCTTGACTATGGCTGCAGCTCATTTACCACCCCATTCAAGGAATCCTTCCCTTCTCTTGTAAATCCTAAGAGCCCACAGTCCATTACATGTGCAATGTGTTAGGAAGAGAATGTGGAATAGTCTGAAATAAATTGATTCCCTTTATAAATGGACTTGTCATTTATTCTATTATTTTTTGTTCCAAAATGAAACTTGACTTAAAAGCTATAGCAGTCCCTCTAAAGAAGTGAAATAAAAAAGAGGGGGGGTCTGAGAAATCGCTGCAGATATAGCCCCCATTGTTGCATTCACTATCACATCTCTGAGCCTGTCATAGTATAAATAACCTACTCCTGGCACTGTAAGTAGAGGGTTGCCTACTAACCCATATAACTGTCCATGATAGAAGCTGTTTACAGGTGCAATCTAGGATAAAAGCTGTTTTCAGCTTTGAGGCACTGTATTACAAAGCTATACTGCAAAGAATAACTGCTAAGTGTACTACACAGTCTGAATGAGAGGTAATGATAGTCTAGTGGTAGCATGTTTCAATATTGGTTGAAAAGAAGATTGTTTTACATATACATGGGGAGAAATGTCATGAAGACAGAAATATAAAACATGCATTTATTTCAATGACACTTGCAAATAACTGCTCCCAGGATCACAACCGTAATTCAGTGAGAACTGGAAAGAAACGTAGACCAGTAATCTAATTCAGGGATAGCCAATGTGGGGTCCTCCAGACCCTGCTGGACTCCAACTCCCATCATTGCCAGTCTGCATGGCCAGACATTGGAGCCTCTTCCAGGTGAAGGTGGATGAGACAAACTTGCCCCCACAGAAAGTAGGAATGGCATTAGAAGACGTGGCAAATGTGTGTATAGATTTTCTTTTTTTAGGGGGGGGAAATGGTTTTTCAAATTACAGTTTTACAATCACATATCCAACATACAACATAAAGACAAGATTCCATAGAATCTCCTGGACTTTCATCCTCTTCTTTGTGGGTCCTATTGTTAATCATTTCCTCCTGCATCTTTTATAATAATCCAAATCTTTTACATCTCCATTATATCAAAAATTTACCATTAAACTACGAGTGTTATTCCAATCCTACTAACAATTTTAACTGTTTACAATGGTTTTAAAGATAAATTATAAATCCCCCCTTCTTTATTAAAGTTTTGGTTTTCCTGATTTCTGATTCTTCTGGTCATTTTTGCCGTTTCAGCATAATCCATCAACTTAATCTGCCATTCTTCTCTGGATGGGACTTTAACTGCTTTCCATCTCTGGGCCAATAACATCTGGGCAGCTGTGGTGACATACATGAATAGTCTTTTCTGTTCCAGTGGGATTTTGACACCTAAGATTCCTAAAAGAAAGGCTTCAGGGGATTTAGAAAAAGTTATTTTAAACATTTTTTTTAATTCATTATATATCATTTCCCAAAATTCTTTTACTACCTTACATGTCCACCACATATGATAGAAGGTGCCTTGTTTTTCCTTACATTTCCAACATAAAAAGGTAAAGGTAAAGGTACCCCTGCCCGTACGGGCCAGTCGTGTCCAACTCTAGGGTTGTGCGCTCATCTCACTTAAGAGGCCGGGAGCCAGCGCTGTCTGGAGACACTTCCGGATCACGTGGCCAGCATGACGAAGCTGCTCTGGTGAGCCAGCACCAGTGCCACACACGGAAATGCCATTTACCTTCCCGCTATAAAGCGGTACCTATTTATCTACTTGCACTTTAGGGGTGCTTTCGAACTGCTAGGTGGGCAGGAGCTGGGACCGAAAGACGGGAGCTCACCCCCCGCGGGGATTCGAACCGCCGACCATACGATCGGCAAGTCCTAGGCACTGAGGTTTTACCAACAGCGCTACCCGCGTCCCACATTTCCAACATATATTTGACCAAATATTTGTATAGATTTTCATGCATTTTTTCCAGACCACATTTTACATCAAAAATTAATTCTCCTCCTCCCAAACTTCCCTGCTCCTGGATGCTTTGTGCAAAATCTAAGCTGATTTTGCTTTCCAGTACAACAGATCCCCCTGTTCAAAGGCAGATGACCCACACAATGATTCTTAACAAAACAGATAGTTCCAGGCAAATCAAGCACTCATCCCTCCTGACATTGGCTAATTGATAGAAACAATCCCTAATGTTCAGGTTCTGGCTTTTGTGTTGATTCACAGCACCAGGAAGAAGCAGAAGTCAGCTTGTCAAAAGTTGGGTTTATAACTTGGGACTCCCATACCACAAAGACTTGAAAGACTAACTATGTCATCCTGTACACAGTAGCTGAGTGTCTTTGGATTTACTGGGCAGAAATGATCTCCTTTACGCTGAGGGAACAGCAAGATCTTATAGTTTATGTCAGCTATGTTGAAGTGAACATTAAAATAAAATAGGATTAGCAAAGGCAATCCAATACTTTTCTTTCATCCAGTGATGCAGCAAATAGGCATCCCATTTACAGGTATGAGCAACTTTTTCAAGGGACTCATTGCCTTTCTGTCTCCTTACATACGTCCTTTCCCCATATGTACCACTGCATCTGATCTGCGGAGAAAGCATTGCTCCTTGCCCTATCTTTAATGGAAGTGAGAACTATAAGCCTAGGCTTCCACAGAAGATGAAGTCTGGTGAACAAGCACCTAGCTGAAAAGGGATGCAATGTTTTGAAAAGAAAAAAATTGTGCAGTGCACACCATGGGACAAAAATCAGGCATCCATAGACATGCTGATGAAGAGAGGACTTGAATAACTTATTTCAGAAAAGAGGAAGTAAAACTAGATAATACTAATAAGGTAAAGGTATCCCTGACCGTTAGGTCCAGTCGTGGACGACTCTGGGGTTGCGGCGCTCATCTCATTTTATTGGCCGAGAGAGCCGGCGTACAGCTTCCGGGTCATGTGGCCAGCATGACTAAGCCGCTTCTGGCGAAACCAGAGTAGCGCACAGAAACGCCATTTACCTTCCCGCTGAAGCGGTACCTATTTATCTACTTGCACTTTGACATGCTTTCAAACTGCTAGGTTGGCAGGAGCTGGGACCAAGCAATGGGAGCTCACCCGTCGCGGGGATTCAAACCACCAACCTTCCAATCAGCAATCCCTAGGCTCAGTAGTTTAGACCACAGGGCCACCCATGTCTCACTAATAAGGTAGAGGCAGGCTAAAATTCTACTTGAAAACTCAATTAAAAAATAGACACAGGACATGTTGCTGAACATTTGTGGACTCATGAATTGTTCAGCTGAACTTACCAGATTACTTTGGTGACATTGCTAAATTGGTTTGCTGACATTGCTACAGGACTTGAGAGTAGCCATAGGGAGTGGCTTGTGCCTCTGTGTGCTGCCTTTGCTGAAAATAGTACAAGAGGAACAGCAGGCAGAGTGAGAACTATCCTGCAAAAGAAGGTGCAAGCGTTTTGATGGAGAAGAGGGGACACTAACCACTACTTATAACTGAGTGCCTTGTCCTGGATTGACTGGAACAGGTCTAGGTCTAACATGTTCCTGAAGATCAGAGAGACCAGGTGTTGATTGCTTCCACAAATGGAAATTCATCACTGTTATCCTCTGTTGTAGTTTCAATTTATGGTTGATTTACTGTTCAATAAAATTGAGATGTATCATTTTCCATTTTGTGGTCTGGATTTCTGTTACACATATATTAAAGCCTCAGGCTGACACATGTTGGTACTTACATACAAGAGTTGCCAATTGTCTGTGGTTATATTCTTCCAGTAGAAGTACACCTGGCTACTTTTCTGTTAGCTAGCCTATTTTCTATATATTCTGTTCTATAGGCTTTCTACAGCTGTTAACACAGAGAGCCTTTCTCGTGCTGGGACTCCTGTTGAAACATTTTGGCTGATTCTTAATTAGACCATGTTTTGTTGTGCTATCAAATTCAAACTGTGAATTTTAAAAAAGTTTTAATTGCATTTTTGGATGGCTTTTAGTTTACCAGGTTTGCACATCATTTTGGGTGACACCCCACTGGCAAAAACAGAACTTTAGAGATGTGAAAGAAAACATTTTGGAAAGTATTCACATCGTTAAGCACATTCTGACTGTGGGATTCACTGCTAGCTGGCCTTCATAAAGCTACTACAGAGCCCTTGAAGACTGCCTTCTCCTCACTGGCTTAGAAGCATGTAATTGTAAAGTCAGAAGGTACCACAAGGGTCATCTAATCTAACACCCTGAAATAAAGGAGTCATTTGCCCAACGTGGGGTTCAAACCCACGACCCTCAGATTAGAAGTCTCATGTTCTACCAATTGAGCAACAGGGGCCTATCCTGCCACTGAGCTCCTTTGGTTTGGTAGGCTTATGGAGGGCAGGGTAGGATTCCATCTTTAATCATAGAATCATAGAGATGGAAGAGACCACAAGGGCCATCGAGTCCAACCCCCTGCCAAGCAGGAAACACCATCAGAGCACTCCTGACATATGGTTGTCAAGCCTCTGCTTAAAGACCTCCAAAGAAGGAGACTCCACCACACTCCTTGGCAGCAAATTCCACTGTCGAACAGCTCTTACTGTCAGGAAGTTCTTCCTAATGTTTAGGTGGAATCTTCTTTCTTGTAGTTTGGATCCATTGCTCCGTGTCCGCTTCTCTGGAGCAGCAGAAAACAACCTTTCTCCCTCCTCTATGTGACATCCTTTGATATATTTGAACATGGCTATCATATCACCCCTTAACCTCCTCTTCTCCAGGCTAAACATGCCCAGCTCTCTTAGCCGTTCCTCATAAGGCATCATTTCCAGGCCTTTGACCATCTTTAGGATAGATGTGCAATTAATGTTTTATTAATGTGAGTTATATCGGAGGTTTTATGTTGCATTCTATTTTATGATTGTTGGAATTGTATTTTTAATATGCTGTTGTGTAAGGCACCTTGAGAGAGTTATAATTAAACAAACAAATAAATAAATGACTACAGTTTATCCCTGCTTTTTGCCCCTAAGCTACTTTGAAATGCACAAAGCTCAAATGGTAGACAGCATTAAAATATTACGGCTACATGCCACACCAACCTCTGAGAAGCTCTGGGGATGTGTGAGCATTGCCTAGGGTTTGGTTTGCTTGGAGTGAAGGTCAGTGGAGGCTGTGGTGCCTTTATGGTTTTATGTATATATACACAACCCAACCATAGATCAGAGGGGCTCACAGCGTTAACACTCCCATAAACTTTGCTTCTCCTTAGGTTTCCAGGCGAACCCTGAAGTCCAGCACAAAGCAAATATGTCTCTGTCTCCAGCTTCCAGCTCACTCACACACAACTTTACCCATGTAGCAGCTGAGTGAGGAGTGTGCGGTTGCGAAAAGGACCACCCATTCATTCTATGGCACAGAGCAACTTTAGTTGGGCTAACTCATGGTACTTAACTAGGCAGACAAAACCATTACCTTGATAAAGGAATTGGTTTGGCAGGTTCTGAAGCCTATTCTGCTAAATTATTACTGGACACAGGATCACAAGTATGGAAGAGATCCAATATACCTTTCATAATGATCCCGCCAAACTCATAACAATTCGCTCACCACCAGCACATTAGGTATGGAAGACTTGCAGTACCTCACATTTGGTCAAATGATTTATTATATTTACTACCATTACTAATATCTCTCTGTACTTTGCGCTGTGCGGATGTATTTCTTCCCCCCTCTGGCTTCTGTGAAGCCTTCATTATTGTCCCCTCTCATATGCTAAAGTTATCTTATTGGAAAACAACAGAAAATAACTCGTGGGAAGGAGATTAAGAAAAATCCCCAACATCCCATATATGATAGGAGTGTGTGTCTCAGATAAGGCGGGGAAGATGGCGATGATGGGAAGAAGAATAACTGACACCACAACATTTTGGAATTGAAAATGGCTACAACTTTATTGATTGCAGATGTTGTTGGCTTTGGCTAAGCTGTCAGAAGGCTGATATTGAAGAAGAAGAAGAAGAAGAAGAAGAAGAAGAAGAAGAAGAAGAAGAAGAAGAAGAAGAAGAAGAGTTTGGACTTGATATCCTGCACCTTTCACTCCCCTTAAGGAGTCTCAAAGCGGCTAACAATCTCCTTTCCCTTCCTCCCCCACAACAAACACTCTGTGAGGTGAGTGAGGCTGAGAGACTTCAGAGAAGTGTGACTAGCCCAAGGTCACCCAGCAGCTGCATGTGGAGGAGTGGGGAAGTGAACCCAGTTCACTAGATTACAAGTCCACCACTCTTAACCACTACACCATGCTGGTGTAACCATGGGTCATGCCCAGGTTGTGAGTCATCCCAAGACACAGATCAACTGAGCTGACCCACCAGGCCACCACTGGGAAGACTATTGGGCCATCTGTTCTCCACATGAGCTTCTGGACAGATAGATTCTTCCACCCAGGCCCCTTTACCAGAGTACTCTGTTGCCCTGCTCACAATGTGAGGAGGGTGATGCACCATCTCACCCTTCCTCGGGAATAGACTAGGTTTGCCTTAAATGCCAAAGTTGTGACTATTGCGATGAGTAAGGCAAAAAACAAACAAACCATGAGTCCAATTTGTTTGCAGGCAAATTCCTTTATATGCTTATTGTTTAATATGCTTATTGGGGCAGTTTCTTTAGAAACATTATGCTGGTTGAGGAAATAGCAGAAAACTCCTGGCCTAAAGGGACACTACTGTGCATATTCTGAATAAGCTAAAATTGGGCTCAGAGCTTCCAGTATTATCCTCTCTTGGTTTGGACTACCACTCCCATCATCCCAATGGTCAGGGATGATGGGGTGGTAGTCCAAATTATTTGACGGGCACCAGGTTGGTGAAGCCTGCAGGACTGTAACACAAGCTATGCCATCATGTGAAACTAGTCATAGTTTTATGAGAAAGCTACAAACACAACACAACACTCCAGAAACAGCATTAGCATTCATCTGTTCATCTTGGAGCTGAAAGCAAGGTATCTGAGGAGTTCTAAGATGAATGCCTGGATTTATTTACCTCCTTATCTGTGTAACATCTCAAAAGCAAAGAATGGTTGCTCTGAACATTAAACTTTTCAGCCTTTCCAATGAACTTGAATATATTAATGGTTCAGCATTGTAAAGAGCAAGTTACAGGAGAAAGATACAAGGAATTCAGAAGTAGATTGAATAAGCCAATGTTGGGAGAATTTCCATTGCCCTCACAATCTGGAGATGTACTATAAATGCACAAATAAGAGAATCAAATGACTGTGTAAAGCATCTTTCTTGCATTTGTACCTTATATGCCATTATCTCCACCCACAGCTGAAGTGTTTGGCCATATCCTCACCATACATTTAAAGCACATCTATATTAGTTTTACATCTATGATATCCTCCAAAGATCCTTGAAATTGAAGTTTGTTAAGGTTTCTGAGAGTTGTTAGGAGACCCCTCACAGAGCCACAATTTTTAGCAACTTTAACAAGCTACAGTTCCCAGGATTCTTTGGTAGAAGCTATGATTGTGGTATAAGAGTGCTTTAAATTTGTGGTGCGGATGTTGCCTTTTGTGTGTAGCCAAAGGTGTTCAGTCAGTAGCATCTGAGGCCATGGGGTCTAGCACAGAGACATGAAACCTGTGACCCACCAGATATTGCTGGACTACAACTGCATCACCCTGACCATTGGCTATATTGTTAGACTCCAACAATATCCGAGGGCACAGGTTACCCAGCTTTGGCCTTGCAAAATGCAATGTTGTCATGGATAATGTTCATCTAAATAATTGTGCTAATGGAATGATTTCTGCTAGTGTCATGGAACTGCCCTCCTTCCTCATGTGTGCCCTGTACCATCTCCTAATTTGCTCCAGAGGGTTGGGGGGGCTCAGAACAGATTTAGGGGCCACCTGGGAAAGGAGAGAGGTGGAAGTCTTGTCGTGCAAACAGAAGTCTTTTTGCTCACACAAGAGGTTGCTTTGTGCTTTGTTGAATCAACCCATGCTCTTCTACCTTGGACAGGCCTAGACTGCCCAGAATGTCAATCCATCTTAATTTTGGATGGGGGCTCTGATTCTGAAATTTTATATTTCGCTCTATCATGGGTTGTGAATTAATCCCAGTCATTTGCAGCGCTGACTGGCAACTGCCACGTAGGAACACTTGAAACAGGAAATATCAAGGTCAAATGACTGCTACCAACCAGGATCCTAAAGTTGGAGCCATTCACATTTTCCACTGCCTAAAACTGATGAGACTCTGTTCCATTCACCTCCAACAGCAGGTTTGTAGCATTCTATGTAGCTTTCCTCGGGATAATACTAACTTCTGCTTGCTGAGACTAATGAGAACAAAGTCAGGGGAAATAAACCATAAAGAGAAGAGAGAAATGGGAAACAGCTTTAGAAACCATCATCCTGCAGCACGTTAATGCTTTGCTTTCACATGTTTCATTCAAGTCTCTCTCAGGGCTGTTGCGACACTGACTCCACTGCAGAGATAAAACCAGAAGGGAGACCTTGGGAGGTAAGGTTCACATTTATTTGTACTTGAAGCTTTGACACATTGTTAGCTACAGTGACAACTTTGTGAATGCCAAATAAGCAGTGTTCAGCTTCTCCCACCCCCTCTTCTTTTTAAAGTCATGACCACACAGCGGTGCACTTCAGAATGACAGCCAATGGCACCCAGCAAACCAGGTACTTCCCCTTTTGTCCAGATAGTGAAAGTCATGTAAATGTGAACACACTGGCATGAGCATCTGTTTAATTAAAGAAGGTCACAGACACTGTGTGGTGGATGAGATGAAAAGCAGAATGAATGTGAGAATATTGCATCCATTGGAATCTGCTACAAACAGTCCAGTTTCCAAATCCCTTATTCAATTAAATTTGAATCTATATGATCTACGTTTACCTTAAAGAGATCCAGATCATCAGTTGCTGTAACCTGAGCTACAGGTTCTTTCCTCCCAACGCCTTGGATGCTGACATAAAACTAGGACCATCTCTGAAGGCCTTTCTGAAGTTACTGAGTCACCTTGGACTTTATGGTATCTGAAACCACCCAAAGTATCTCCACAAGGAAAAGCAAGAGGTTTATTTGGGTGTTTAAATCTTGAATGCCAGTGTTTATTTGCTTGAGTGTTTGGGCATTCATAAGGTCCTGCTGGGCTAGGGGTTATAAAGCTTCAGTTGAGTCCATGTGATGCCTTCCAAATGTTGCTAGACTACAACTCCCATCATCCATGACCATTGATTATACTGGCTAAGGCTGATGGGAGCTGGAGTCCCACATTGGACACTGCTAAATTGAGCTCTGGGCTTAACAGAAACAACATCTTCTTTCCT